GACCACCAAGGTCACCTAATTCAAGCAGAAGGGAAGAGACGGGTACACAGGGATGGCTTTGTTTTTCAGATGTTAGTCATTTTCCTTCCAGCTTGAATCAAAAAAGCAGGGGCAGGCCCAAAGATGAGGGAGGACTGAGGCCTCTATTCCATTTTGCAGCCTTCATTCTTGAACTTCTTTCCTTCCCTAAATCCCCTCTCTCCTCCACCTCCTTTGGCCCACTGGATGGTAATGGCCTTTCTGGTTTGGAGCCAAAGTAACTAACAGAAGAACTTTAAAAACTGTCTAAACGATAACCGCATTTGCCATGAAACATCTGTAAAAATGTGTGCTTGTGTGACCATCTGTTTGTCTTTAACATTGATTTCCCCTTCCGAGGGTCATGCCCATATTTTAATATCAGTGATATAAATCACCATTTAAGAGATATTTTGTGAGTTATTTTAGAAATTGGCAATCTGAACAATTCTATTAGAAAAATTAATCTACTGGAAAGATCAATCCAGCTGATTGTAGGGGGTTAAGTAGATGTAGGTCAGTTAACAACCTACACATTCATTTTTAACTAGTTTTAGAGGCATAAACTTGAGCTACTTTCCTTACCCAGTTTCAGGCTCTCCCAAAGCTAACTACCCACGAATAACACAGGAACACTGCAAAATCCTGGTATTACTGTAATATCAGAGAGGGAGAGGTATGCAGTTATTGAAAACCATATGTTCACTCAGTCATTGATTCATCTTACAACATAATAGCTACCCATATTTCACTATGGCTCAAGAAATTCAAGGAATGCATAAGTCGGTCATGCCCAAATATCCCCTAGATTCATTTGGTGCCAGATGCTCTCCTTTGGTTGGCTTTAAACACTTCCAAGGCAAGAACCCAGAAAACTCAGCTGGGGAGGATCCTAACTAATTTCATCAAAAACAGGAACTACTTACTTTTAAAACACTCATGAGATTAATTTGATGTAATAATATACCACTTACGTAATTTCCCAACCTAAAGCCATCTCAAAAGACGTGGAGGTTAAAACTGAAAGACAAAGCAAGATCATCCAGTTAGGGTGACAGTGGGGAGAGGGGGAGAGGGGAGAGCGGAGGTGGATTTCAGAGAACCTACAGGTACTAAGAGAACAGTACCTGTTCCACAGTGTAACTGTGGAAAAATAGAGTTAGTATTACTTCTTCGGTGTAGATAACTAATAAGGTATCTTGTGATTAACCCAAACTCTTTAAATAAATAATAATTCTTTGAAAAGAGACTGATATAAAAATAATGTGAAGAGAATTTAAAAAATTGAAGTGCTTTCTTATTAGTTATAAGATCAATAAACACAAGTATTCAGTGTGTTCATCAGACTCCTCCCATATAGCTTTCCACATGTCCATTCAGTTGTAGCTAACCAAACATTGTAACACATTCTTATGTCCAAGTTCAAAGCAATTAAGAAAAGCAGAAACAAAGTGAAACAAAATTGTCATTCGCATGGTCCATTTGCACACCAATTTTCTTTAAGTTATAAAGGAAAAATCTTATAAGTTTAGCATTTTATGCAAATATCTTCCATCAGTAAAGACTGCACACATATTGAACACAGAGCCAGCTGCTATCCACAAGAGGAACATATCCTAATCATGATTTTACAGACACATTCACACACACGTGTGTACATATGTCAAATAACTTCAACGGACATCCAAAGAAACATTCAGTCTAAGCTAGGATAATGTACTTCATCTTCCATTTACCCGGTTAAATTAAGCAGGCTGGATCTATCAAGGTCCGGGAGGAAACCAAAACCATCTGAGTGTGTACACAATGACCCACTTACTATCCTATGTTCATCAGTATAAGGAATCTTCTAAAGAGAAACTATTAAGAACACAGGGGCCATACAGCACAAAAGCCAGGAAATATCAGCACAGGACCTGAAATGAGCACTTCCCAGTCATGGCCAGAGACCACGTGCACCCTGGCATGGATGGTGGTAGGGAAGGACATGAACAGGACCGATGGGCTTTAGTTCTCGGGTTCAAAGTTCCCACCACATTCCTTTCTAGGCAGCCTGTATGCCTATTAGCTATTTAAAACTTCAGGTCAAACCAACCTGCCAACAGCCCATCGTAAAATCATTGACTACCACTGAAACTCAATTTCCAGTTGCCTTCATTTCATACATGCTGTAATAGACTCTCAATGGTTGAAATGAAGAAACATAAACCTTCTAAGTTGTTGGAATTTAAAAGATGACCCCTCTGATGTTCAAGGTCAGCAACACCAACGTATATACGTTTCTCTGTTTTGCAGTATCTATACGGTCAAATTTGGCCTAGAGACCCAAAGGGGTAAAAACCAACAGCACTGAGTTTGAGAGGCACAGAAAATGCAGTTTCTTAATCATGGGTGAGGGACTATGTGTCATGAACAGCTGTCACTCAAACGCTGTCATCCACTTGGCCCCCCAGGTTTCCCATTGTGAAAGCATGCACAGACGTGAATTCACACAGCCATATACCACAGACATTCACCGGAAAGGCACAGATGTGCTCCCGCCACTGCAGGCGTGGGCCATGGTTTCCACTTCCCGAAGAAACATATTCCCAGGCCAGGTGCGGTGGCTCACGCCTGTAATTCCAACACCTTGGGAGGCTGAGGCCGGTGGATCACAAAGTCACGAAATTGAGACCATCCTGGCCAACATAGTGAAACCCCATCTCTACTAAAATAGAAAAATTAGCTGGGCGTGGGGGCGCGTGTCTGTAGTCCCAGCTACTCCGGAGGCTGAGGCAGGAGAATTGCTTGAACCTGGGAGGCAGAGGTTGCATTGGGCTGAGACCGCACCACTGCACTCCAGCCTGGCACATGGCAACAGAGCGAGACTCTGTCTCAAAAACAAAAAACAAACAAAAGAAGAAATATATTCCCAACACCATGGTAGTAGAGTGTTAACCCCTTAATGGTTTCTGCAGTTACATATTCTCAGACAGTTACCAGGTAGCATTTTTAGTTGCCAAATACAAAGAATACAATAAAATCTTTAGACATTTTTATGCTAAAAAAACAATTGTACAATAAATCATTTTGAAATTATGATAGTCTTTGAGTACTATGGATATAGGTACTTACTGTTGACTATTCTGACTTGCAAAATATTCTCTGTAGGCTCATATTACCTGGGGAATGTGGGAATTACTTGGTGCTGGTAGTACAGACTTCCATAGCATAGATATTTTTAAATCCTAATACCAAATATTTCCACTGAAAAGATGAAACATGTTTGCTGAAATACAATTCTCATTTCTTTTTTATATCGGGCAGTCATGCATTTATTATTAAAATAACATTAAAAAATTAAGGTTGTTATTTACCATAAGAATGGTTTCAGTTCCCATAGACTTCATCTATTCTTAACCAAAAGAAAAGGCCATGTACCTCTACAAAGCAGCTCGAGGTCAAAACCAAATGCTGCGTATGGAGCTGATGAATTTGCCAGACCCTCATGGTGATACCGAATTATCCCCCCAAAGATGGAAAAATACCAACCATACAAATAAAGTCACCTGCATTACTTGAATTTCTTACCAAATGCCATTTTTTCAGTAAAAGTAACTTAAGAAATGCCCTACCTTTGCCCTGAAATCATAACTGAGCAAAGAGAGTCAAAGCCTGTAGTTGCTGAAATAACCACTTTTGAGGTAAGTGGTGGCTTCGTCTCACCTCCTTTCAGTGTAACAAAAAAGCACCTTCTGGGCACGGCAGTAGCAGGTCCTTTGTTTAGAAATGCATGCAAGCCATGCCGAAGGTTGCCAGTGTACACAGAGACTCATGTTTTCTGCGTGGAAGGACTTGTGTGACTTGGTGATTCTTGTGACGTCAAAAGAGAAGAGCCATCGCCTCCATTTTGGAGACAAGAGCCCAAGCCCATCTCTCCCGGCGCTCTGCCCAGCTCGGCCCCTACCACCACCCAGGCCACAGGACTGGGTTGCAGGAAGGAATCGGTCATGTAAACAACCCCTCTACCTAGCTGCCTACCTATCCAGAGTCAGATTCTCCTCCACATGCCTGCTCACCTAATTTTCCACAGCTTAGCCAACAACAAAACATCTCCATCTGGTTCATTTTTCCTTTGCATTTTAACCACAGCCCAGAAAAATCTTGACTAGTTCACTGGGGCCTACTTTTAACCAAATCCAGAAAGCTTTAAGTGAAATAAAAGGTGTCTGTCTGGGTTTCCTTTATGTGGAAATCAGATATCCAAATATCACTTGTGTTTCCATAGGAAATTTTCCATCTTCGGTTTTTCACCGGGATTATTCTAGGCAAAGAAGTACCCAAATGCTTTCACCACCACAACTCCCCTTGAAACCACAGCACATCACCCCATTTGCTTCAAAAACCTCACCTCCAACTTCAGGAGGAGGCACAGGGCCCTGGCCGTGCAGGGGATGAAGATTGCACATGACGCAGCCCTAAGCATCCCTGGACTGGAGAAGCATGGGAGAAGCAAATGTCCCTCCCTGCTGTCCCTCATCAGCAACAAACACGAGGGGGGTCTGGCCGGCACCCTTGCCCCCTGGACACAGGTGTCCTGCATGTAGACATTACTGCAGGCTCTACAACCACAGCACAGTGTGTCCACACCAATGCACATGACAGCTGGGCAGGCATGAGGGAAGAGTCAGCTGTCCCCAATCAATACCTCCTGGCCTCTTCCGTTCCTTCCCACCCCACCCTCCCTTCTTCCCCACGCAGCTTCAAGTCCACACAGATCTGGGTCTCCAGCATTATCTAATCGGCTCTCTCCCACCCCACTCCCATAGCCTGAAGAAACACGTAAAATCCCATCTGTAGGGGAAAAGTCTACTCAAGTTGTCTTGCTATGGGGAGCTCTGATGAAGCCTGGTGAGGGCATTCCTGCGGAGGGATCTCAACTCCCAAACGTCTTCCTGCATGTGCTCCTGTTCCTTTTTCTCCTCCCCCTCCCCGCCCCCTACCTTGCTCCTCGCTGCTGTCCCCAAACCAGGCAGTGGGTTCCTCCTCTGGGAGCTGGGGTTCTCCGCCACCTCCTCCACCCTCGAGGGCTTTGCGTTTCTTCGACATCTCTGCCCAGGGCTGGGGATTTGGGGGTTTTCTTTCCCCACCCCCTAGCCCTCCCCGCTCGGAGAAGAGAGTGAAGGTGGGGTTAGATGGAGGGGAGGAGGTTAGGTGCAGAGGAAAGGGGTGGGGAGAAAAGACCAGAGAGGGAGATGGAAGAGACTGCTGCTTCAGGAGGGGAAGGGACCTGGGATGGCAGGAAAGGCAGAGGGGCAGGACTCAGTGCAGAAGCCCTACAATTGGGTCCATCAGTGTAACCCTACGTCTAGGAGACTGTTTGCGGCTGTTGCGCCCCTCTCTCTCTCTCTCTCTCTCTCTCTCTCTCTCTC